CTAAGTCATTATTCTGTCTTTCATGGACTGAATTTCTGTCTCTCATCTCGATCATGCTGACAAGTGCCTCAGGGGTATCAGCCTSACTTACTAACTTTCAGTGTATTACCTACCACCAGTAATATGAGAAAGACCTGGTGGGAAATGTTATCTTCCCACCAGAAATGCACTTGTGCTCTGTGTATACACATTCCCTATTTAAGACTTCATTTAACCACCAAGGCAAAAATACTTCTTGATTCCCACATAAAGTGCCCCTGGGAATTGTCACCGCAGAAACACCACTTTAGATCTGCCAGAGAGAGACATTTTATTACCTGAAGGATGCTATCTTAACCCAAGGTCTAAAATATAAATGAACTGCAATTCAGATGACTTGAGATCCAGCAGAAAGACAGAAGGGTGGAAAGCTTCCCAGGCATTCCACAGGGAGACGGCTGATTTATTTAATACAGATAAATATGACAAAAAGATAKTCATATCCCAAGTTTTAATAAGTTCATGCTTGACAGGAGAAACTGAACTGAAGTCTTGAGMACCAGTTAATACAAGATGTTAACTAATAGAGTTGGAAGAGGAAAAAAGAAGCTTCAAGCARATGAATTCAAGTTAAAGGCAGGAGAAAGATTTCTCTATTAAGATATGGGCTGAAGGAGAAAYTATGTCCTTTTTCAATGACTTATCAACTGTACTGTAGGGTAAAAATCTAAGGGAGCTTCATACAGCCTTTAGTATTTAAGTAGAGCAGAGGATCTTAGACATGAAAGGTCAAAGCCGCCTATGAAAAGATGAGTGAGAAAATAAACAGAGAATAAATCAAGAGATTATTTTAGAATCTGCCTTCATGAAAACCCAGCCTTTTCTCAAGTGGCAGACATGTTCTATTCTATGCTGAAACAGGGATTTGAGGTTTGCTTCAGAAACACATTGTAAAGCCATTAGATGATTCCTCGGGAGTGCTGTTTTGAACGTTACTATTGTCTCTTTGAGCAAAGCAATGCTCTCTGTGGTTTTTAATAAGTTACCTGGTTTTCCCCATGTTGAAAGCTTCAGGAATGTTAGGTTTCATCAGGAAGGAATTTGGGTTAAGTTGCCARAGCAGGTAGATAAAACTAAGTGGAAGCAAAGGAGGCAATTGGGACACGGGCTGTGGCTTAACCCTGCACTGAACTGCATTTGCATATGGCTTTGGGAAAAGTTYCATTAAAAGTTTTTACAGCCAAGAGAGATTCAGGAGTATGGCATTTTCTAGTTGCTGATTTTTCTGTGCTCAAGAAAGAAGATGTTAGCTTGTTAAAATTTATAAATAAATACMGCTTCATCAACAATTTATTCTAATTGCAAGATTACTGATATTAAGTAGGTTCTTAGTATGTATTCAAACCAAATTACTTTTAAACTGCAGCAGAATATCAGAATCCTTTAATATGCAAAAGTATTGGAAATCTGCTTTCAAAAAGTTCTAAAAGTAAGATCACATCTTTCTTCCATCTTGTCAGCCTAGTATTGTTTCCATGAATCCCTTGGGTAAAACCAACAGTTTCTGGAAAGCTTGCCTGAATCTCATAATGACAAACCCAAAATTTAGTCCAAACTATAYGGAGCAGTAATGAAAAATCTCTTGGCTGTTTTCTGAGATTCTCTCCAATTATTAATACCTATGCTGGGACATACACAATTGTGTAGATATTAATCAAAGTTTACTTTTCAGGGAAAAAGTCAATAGGATGTTTAAATCTTGATTTATATACAAGCTTTAAGTATTTCACCTGTGTAATTCTGCACAGTCAGTAGCTCATTTCTTCTAATTAAATCTTTATTTTGCCTCTCAGTGGGTCTGATTTTCCTCTTACTAGCAGCAAGTTTATTAATATAACTCTCATCAATCAAATGTTGGTAGCATCTTAATGAGATTAATGTAAGAAAAAGAAAAATCAAAGCCATTGACTTTGTGCAACAGTTTTGCCAGCCTGTTCACAGCTAAACAATGCTTACTGGATGCTTAACAGAATGCTGGGCAGGAATTTTTACTGTTTAGAGACCTTTTTTCCAATTGTTTTGAAAGTACAATTGGCACAATCATGAAAAAAAGGAAATAATTTGCTCAGGAAGCAAAATCAGGGAGTTTGCCTAACTACAAGAGCTAATCATCTTTGTCCTTTTCATATGTAATACAAGCTGAAATTACACACGCACATGAAAGTAAAATATTCTGTTACAATCAGCATTTAGTTATGGGCATCAGAGTGCACACCTTATTAACACAGTAAAACATTTATTATTGTTTTCTATCAGCTTTCTGTTGCCTCTACCACTTACCACTCTGAAGCCCAGGACAGGTCATGGACCGATCATTTGGTCATTGTTAAACAGGTCACAGCCAGGTCAGTTAGAGCAAAAAACTCTGGTTTCCCAGGTCAACACAAAAGTCAGTTGATTTTTAGTTGTAACTCAAAAAATCATGCATACTATATACGTAATATATGTAACCATTCTTTTCAGCCCATATAAAATAAATATGAAACATTAATAATAGGGATAGATTTAACTATCTGAAATATAGAGTTGAGGTTGTGGTTTGAAAGTGACTGATGGCATGAAAGGAGCAGCAAGGTAAACAGTATCTAACAGAACTAAAGAAGAAAATAAAATGTGTTTTGCCACAACCAGMAGTGATCTATTGAAAGTTTTCTAGAAACTGTTTATGCTAATATCAACCACCTGTGTTTTTTAAAAAGTATCAACAACAGAATGACAGAGTTAACTAAGGCATGGCACTCAGTAGGAGCATCACATGCTAAAGATAATTTTGAACTTAAAACAATGAGTGAAGAAGCTTCAGTGACACAAGACCATTTAAATAGTTATAACAATGTCTTTTTTCTTTTATATATTCCAAAAATAAAGTAGTGAGATGACTTATGCTGCCAATAAATATGAAGAAGATTGATCAAAAGACTAAGAGATTTTAATGAAATATCAAATATAGTGGAATCTCCAACATGGAGAACARTTAAGTGCCCTTTTGAAGACCAAAGGATAACACGAAAAAAGATGTAAGAACTCTAGCTGGGATCTGATRACACCATGAAAAATGATCCCTGACAAAAACTGAGCAGCAGGGAAGGATCTCTGTGATACAAGAAAAACTGCTAAGAGCAGACTGTCTGATGGAAGCTCTCAATTTCTTTGATTTTAAATGCAAAGCACTCTCTGCTTCATGATTCCAATGAATCACCTACTATTTTCCAAATATTTTCCCACAGCATGCTATGTAACCTCTCATGATCACTGTATTTACATAGAAGTTAAGTATTTTGCATTCATGCTTTCTATTTGACCACTTTAGAGTATTATATCCCTTCATTCAAGGCACTTCTATACACTATTATTTTATTTTCATCTTTGGAAAGTGTCATCAAAATAGGTAAAATTGCAGCTGCCTTTCTCTCTTTAAACAAAATACTCAAATGAATTAGGGGCAAAAGTTCTGCCAAGTCAACAAGGAAATCTTTTTCTCCTACTGTCTGATCCCTCCTAGTCCTCGAGAAGCACTTCATAAAGAAGTGGTTAAGTGAGAAGGTTGGCAGTACCCACCAACCAGTGAGAAAAGTGTGAATTCAGATATATTTGAAAAATTGGGAGACTATGCTCTCCCATTTATCTGAACTCTGTACATGTTAAGATAGAGATCCCTGTGTCGGTACTCACAACTTTAAGGTATTCAAGGGAAACTATGACAAATAAACCAGACAAACCATAATGCTCCATRTCAGTATCTTTGCAGCAGAGATGTGAAGGAGCAAGACCCTGCCACCTGCACATTGGCTTTCAGCTCTCTCATGTAAGTCCTACCAGTCACTAAAGCTACTGCCTCTACGACCAACATTACACAGTGCACAGAAATATAGCACCCCATGGTAAGTGGGAAACCGGCATTAAAAGCTGGTAACGTAAGCAGGTTTGTAAATCATGAGAAGCATATAGAAATAAAGACTTTAACTTCCTCCGGAGAAAATATGCAATTGCAGATGACAGGGAGAAATGACAGCAGAGATAGGAAACCCAAAACAGACTTGCATCCAGGATGTACTTTTAGTTTTTCTAATACTCTTGCGATAACCAGACTGAGTTCCTCCCAGTAGAGAGAAGTCTATTCATACCCTACAAAATTATTCATACTTTACACATGCTGTTACGTAGAAGGGTGCACACTTGGCCATATGAAATTCTCCTTTTTTTTTTTTTTTTTTTTTTTTTTTTTTTTAGAAATAGCCAGTGAAAAAAATGTGCACCTTTTATCTATAGAACCACAATAGTCAGAAATCTTTCTGCCAAAGGCAGACTTCTAAAAAACCCAGCAGGTTTATATCATGACATCTGTTAATTCCCTGCAGAAGAAGGAAAAAAAAAAAAGTTTGCTGTGATATTTACTGTACCACAACACCATTCCTTCTGCAGCCTTTCCTGGCAGATGCCATATTTTCTTTTCTATGTTCACACACACAATTTCACAGGCACAGGAATGCCTGTTCCAACAAAATTAACATTGAAGCACTGAAATAAATCTAACTTTTTTCCAGGATAGCTAAGCAGATTAAAAGGTCTAGACAAATAATTATGGTACAAATTGATTTATTTTTTTTTTAATGAGAGTTTCCTAATTATTGGGAAGTATTGGGAGCAGCCTAACTTTACRCTGCCCTTTTGAAATCAAATATTTTTGCAGAGAAAACTGCAAGACATAAGGAAGAAAAAAGAAGAAATGCTGCCTCATAAACAAGGGGTGTTTTTTTTTAGAGAATCTTTAAAAAAARTTAAATTTAACAAATGTTTCAACTTTCTTGTAACTCTTACTCAATAAAACAGTCAAGGATTTAATATAGTTGCAACATAAATTTTAAATTTTGCAAAAATTTTCCAATCTTTCGGTGCTCAATGATTTTAAACAACACCAACCAAAATGATACCAAATTTTAAAAAACCCAAAGCACACTTACCTGATGAAATGTCTATCCGGTTCTTCTTCACTTGAGTGACATTGATATGGATGCTGACTTTGCCCTCATTTATGTCAACCTCAACATTCCCCAGGTCTTCGGCAAAGTTGCTGAAGAGAAGAAGTCCATTTGGGTTCCAGGTCCGGAAAAGGAAACTGACTGAAAACAGATCCTGGCTTGGACGACCAGGAACCTCAAGGTAACTGGTGGCATTGAAAAAGACAGGCACTGTATGTGGCTCCACACAAGAAAAACTTAAATTTCCCTAAGAAAAACACAAAAAAAAAAAAGAAAAAGAAAAAAAAAATTGCAAGATTACACTAAATTCATAACTACTTGTAGAAAAATATTCTAGATTTCATTCAGCCTAGAGACTACTGTGATCAATGCATACTGCATCTAAAGATGGGTTATTAATACTATGATTATTGTTACTATTATAATAGTTATTGATTTTTCTGTTTTTTTTCCTAGCATTGTCTACCATATTTTGTAGTACATACATTATAAAAAAGACAGTCTGCCCTGAGTTGTAGTCTAGCTAAGAACAATCTTAGATGAAAGAATTAATATTTCTAGWTAAAAGTTAAAAAATTAATCACAGATGAATTTCAGGCTTTTCTATGGTCCCCATAGAAACCTACAAGAGAACAGTATAAAAAATGAGTGCAGATTTCCAAATAYCCTGATATCAATCTGTCAATCAATACAATATATTCCAAAAGAATCATGTGTAATACCTGAAGAGTCAGACTCTCTGTGATGTTTTCAACTAAATGATACTAGATATGCTAATATTCTAATTCACAAAGCAGAAGGATTTAGAGTAGCTGAGCAACACCTAATATTTTTGGATAGTAAATAATTTTGTCTGTAAAAGAAATGACAGTTTCCAGACTGTAAAATTTTATTATTTGTGAAATTGACAAAAAATGSAGTCAACTTTATTGATTCATAAGGTTTTAAAATGTATCTGTAAACAACACTAGAATTAGGGACATGGATTTTTCACTCTGGTTCTCATGTGATTTCTCACCACAAAAGACAGAATGGTAGGATGTATTTGAAAACTATCATTCTTTTTCCATAGAGATCATAGGTACTTTGCAGTAATCTATGTCCAGAATTAACTTATTGCTTCATGAATGCAAATATAACAGGAAATCTTCCTCTGCTGAGGAATTCTTACAATATGTGGCAAAGTGGATCCTGTTCTATGGTTAGGCTTTTTCATGCACTGATGCAGGTGGATATTATGTGGCAATTTTSGTTCTATTTGGGAGGAAAAAGTTTTATCTGATACTCTGATACAGTATGGAAGTTATTAGTAAAATCAAGATARCAATTCCTCTGATACCTATTTCTAAATTAAAAAAATATTAAGGCTTGAACAATATTTTTGGAGGYACATAGATCTTTAGAGATGTGGTCCACTTAAGCAGTTTTCAGAATCTCAATACAAGTCAAACATCATCTTTATTGTAGAATTATTTTAAAATTCCATATTACTAACTTCCTGACTTAGCTTTTTAGGTCATATWTTTTATTCATAATGTATAAATGCATCTGAAAGTTCATCTTGAGGTAAGGTAGAGAATTTGGAAGCAAGACTGGCATTTTGTGTCTGAAAATGTGTGGGAGAAAAGGCCTAAGTGAATTTTTTACAAGGCAAATATATTCTATTGGAGATGATGGATGACATCAATAAGAAAGTTTTTGCACTCATTTGCCGATGGCCAAACCCATCACTTTCTAAAAGAGCATCACATCAGGAAACACCTTATCTGTATCTGATTCATAGCGAGATACAACTAGTGTGGAAAATTCAGCTTCTTATAAAGGATTTCCACATAAAAAGATGATGATGATGATGATGATGATGATGATGATGATGATGATTATTATTATTATTATTTAATAATAATAATAATTTCTTGAGCACTGAGATAGCTACTTTGATTACTCTGCAACCTCTTTCTCCTGCAGAGTGTCAGAAGTTGTACATTATTCTACTAAAAGCCAGTAGAATTAGTAGTAACTAGTCTGTCATGACAGCCTCCATGTCCCATTAAAGTGCACTAATGCTTCCAGTAAACTGGAACTAGAGAAGAGATTTCTTTAAAGTGAKCTCCTAGATTTGTYGCTAAACTTTATGATATGTCAACAYTACAAGTCATATTCTTTTCCTGTGCCCAAGTCCCACGAATTAAAAAATATAAATCCAGCTAATTAGCTGAAACAAGTAAAGATAGTTTTCAAATAGCTGTGTGATGAGAGAAATTACAGTTACTTTATAAGTAAAGACAAAATACTTCTCTGCTAAGTTGCTTGCCAATTCTGGGATCTTTTTTGTGATTTTGGTTTGCTTTTTGTTTTGTTGATTTTTTTGGACAGTGAAAATTATTTAAGAACTACCTAGAGACATTTAATTTCCCAATTTTAGCCAACTAAACATGAAATCAAAATAGTTAACTCATTTGTTTGACCAGTTTTAATCTAAACAYTTTCAAGTTTGCTACGAAGTGCTCCTGCTTAAACCACAAATTTTACATGTGTAAAAAAAAGGTGGAGAGTGTCTGAAATACCCTCTGTAAACCCTGGCTACCTTCTCGGTGTAATGGGCACCATGTGMATAGAAAAAAGTTCTGTTACACAATTAGGGCAGTTCTGCATAGACACAGAAGACTACATCATTTTTTGAGAGATATCATCTCACAGCTCAGTCACAAATACCAATTAAGTAGTGCTCAGAGAGCATTCTGTTAGACTTTTTAAGAGTTCCTTTTGCTGCCTTGTTACCAAAAGGAACTGACAATTTCCTCGTTACAAGAAGGCTTTTATATCCAATTGTCGTGTCATTCTGATGTTTTGGATGCTTGCATGTGTAACACCTATTAATGTTAATGGCACTGAATGCATTCAAATTCTTTTTCACATCAGTGAATACATTTCCCACGAACATCCCTGCTGCATTAAAAATTTCTTGAGAAAGTAACACATAATTCTAATTTTCCTGCTAGTTAGCATTTTCCCCACTGAGCTATTCAGATTAATATGAACTGGATTATTGATTCCCTCTATCACTGTGTTTCACAACTCCTCTTTTAAGTATGGCCCATCTTATATAGATTGCTCACTCGTTCTAGGTCAAGAGTTCGAGTTAATCTGSAGCTTGTCTCTATAATAGCCTCCTCATTTTTCAAAGAGAATGAGATTCTTTTCTGTAAATTCAGAGTGACTTGCTGAATAGTTTTCTGGGCAATGACATCTGGAAGTCAARTATATACTGTGCATCTGTACTGAAACTTGGTCTTATCAGAGAATCTTTCATAGTACATTGATAGGAAAAAGGTAAAAACAACTTCATTTRTATAGCTTGAGTTGTGTACCATGACCTTACATCTATATGGAAAATTTGATTAATGTTTACTTCTTATAAATCAATTTTGTCTATCCACATTCAGACATTATCCCTTCTGTAAAAATACCACTGTAAACACCTTTCCCAATTAAAAGACCTTCTGGCTGAATAGGAAGCTCCCAAAAGACAGGTAATGAGTTTATTGGGGCTGCACTGCCTGTTAAATCAGGATGGATCATACAGTGCAGGCAAYGCACTGCACAGTAATGCCATCATAAATAGCAGAAAAGGTTAAAAAAATTTCCCCTTTACTTTCTGAATCTAAATCAAATATGTTACAAAAGTCAGGGTGGGACTTTATTTAAATTTAAAATACTTTAAATAAAGTATTTTTATTTAAATAAAATATATTTAAATTTGTCTTTTCATCCTTACTCTTCAACAAAGCAAAAGGATGCTTGGTGGTGTTTTTTTGTTCATAATAATAGGTTTTTTTAAGTTAATTTTGTTCAGAGAAAAATAATGATCATCATCTTCTTATCATCTCTGATTTTCTGGGCCTCTTCACTGTGCAGAATTAATTTGTCAAGTCACTTTCATTGTGTGACTTCTGAAATTCAACTGTCTTCATCTATTAATATTATTTTCTTTTGTTTCATACYCCTTTAAAATCCTTCTTTTCTCTGTATTTATCCCTCCTTTGTGATACTTCTCACAACCACACTGATTACTTTGCTTGTATTAAGCCTCATTATATTGCATGTGTTGTACCTTTTAAGATGATATACTGGGGCAAGGTGTTCCTCCTCTTAAGGGTTTGTACAGAGTGTGCTGCAGTGGGGCTTTGATCCCTGGTGGATTGCTCGAGTGCCATCATCACAAACATGCTAAACAGTGGCAGTAGTTTCAAACAAGCCTGCTAAATCAGGCTAAAAAGTAGGAGAAAAAAATGGTTTTGTAAAAAATATTAAATTTGTGTTGATTTAGTGAGAGCAAAATTGATTTTGCTTTTGAAGAGCTGAAGTRGTTTAAGCAATTCTACTGAAAACAAAGGTCACTTCTATTTTCATAGTCATTCTCAGAATAGGAAATCAGCAGAACCGTCAAATCAGACTAGCATATCATCACCTCTTGATGTGGACCTAATGCTGCCAGAGCATCCTAGGAGGATTTTACTTTCATGTTAAGGGCAACATAATTTTTAAAACAAAGGAGCAAAGAAAGAAGGAAAAAAATACAATCAAAATATTATTTTTTCAGAGACTTTACATGTGTGCTAGCTATGCCACACTTCTGAGAGTCTAGGACTTTAAAAGATAGAATTTGCACTACGGGAACTTCCTAAGTAACACTTCTGTTCAGAAAGAGGCTTGAAGGATATGTCCTACTAACTTGCAGTGACTTGATTGTGCCAAGATTCTTTTTTAAAATCAGGCATCAATCTTTCAAAATCATGGTTACATTACATCGGTAAATGCCCTACCCTGCAGGAAGGAAATCACAGGTAATTTAAAAAAATAAAAAAAAAAAAAAAAGGTCAAAATTTCAGGAGCTCATGAGATCGAGTTGAAAAAAAAATCAAAGTGGAATCTTAATACATGGAATATATATCATATTCTTTGCCTTTGACAATAAGGAAGAAATTAACGTTAAAATACTATAGATGTCAGGCTGCATTACTGAGTTTTTATAGGCAAACATCACATATTCAAGATTATCCTTTTGATTTCCTTGACCATTTAGCCATAATGTTCATACAACTACATGAAATTTCAGTTTTACTAGCCAGGGATAATCAAGTGGTAATCAATCCTTTCCATGACATCATCACTGCATATATAAAGCCTTACAATTTATTACATAAATTAAAAAGAAATATAAATCTACATATTACTAGCAAGACTCTGTCAAGTCTGTAAGCTTGTACAGAAGAATGCCTGGAAAGGTTATTCAAACCATCTCAAACTCATGGCAGTATTACATTTATTTCTAACTCACTTTGCCTTTGCATGCCAGCAAGCAGTTTCAGGAATGTTTAGAGCTTTAAAAACACAGAAATTAAAGTACATTCTTTCTTAATCTTCCTGCCCATAAAAGCACAAGTTTGAACATTAAAGCAACTATGAACMCTTAAGCCAGAGCAAAAATAGAATAAAATTGTAATAAGCTCTGTAACATTAACAACCAAATAATTATTTCAAGTATAATATCTTGAGKTTTTTCAGCCATATCAGAAAATACTGTAGAAGTATTCCCATCCAAAGACTTTTGCACTTCACCAATCCAACTAGCTCAGCAGGGGTGGAATATTGCCAGGATTTAAAAGCCACAAGAAAGCTGCAATTCATTTAATAATAAATCTTGTCTGCACTGGTTTTGGACTACTATAATTTGACAAGAAAGGGAAAAAGCACTTAGATTTAGATTTTCTTTTTTTTTTTAAAAAAAAAAAAACCAAAAAAACCCAAAAAAAACCTCTCTGACTGACAGACTGACACTAAAGGTTAATTTTTGAAAGATTAAACAAGGGCCAGGAAAAAATATGCTGATACATGATAGCAACTTTTTTAAAAACTCACAAATGCCCATGCAATAAGAACTTTGGGTTTTTGGTAAAATCTGTTTTTTGTTTTATATTATTCCAGTATATCACAAGAATATCAGCTACACACCCTCGAAAACCTCCTGGACTTCTTTAGAAGGAGAAGCAGAAGTGTAGATTACCATGAAATTATGCTCTTACCACATTTGAAGGTTCCAATTTCTTCCTCTTGGCAAGGTCAGTGATATTATTGCCATTGTAGTTGATGCTCTCCATGCAGCCTTTGAAATTTTTCCTGCTGTTAGAACTTGGCTTGCCAGAAAAAGGCATGCCTCCAAAGGTTATCTTCAAATGAAACAGAAAATGGTAGATAGTTACTGGAAGGCAAAGACTTTTAAACAATTTTGCTGTTGATGTATTTGCTTTCTTTGAACACTCCACCATGGCAGAAAAAAAAAAAAAAAAAAAAAAAAAAAAAAAAAAAATAAAAAAAAAAAAAAAAAAAAAAAAAAAAAAAAAAAAAAAAAAAAAAAAAAAGGAAAGTGGCAACACTGCTTACAGAAAAAAAAGATGGATGTATCAAAATAAATACTGCAAAAGCAGAAAAATAATTGTAAATAATTTCAAATATTTATGGTAGCCAAACCCAAGTATTATTCCAATTGTCCAAGCAGTGAACAGACAACATATCACAGTTATTCACAGGTGAACTGCTCTTCTGATTGCTACTGGAAAAYAAGCACTTCAAACAAAGACATTGGAATACATTTCCATCACAGAACTCTTCTAAATAAAAATAGACATGAAATTAGCCAGAAAATCTGTTTCAAATCATTCACTCAGCTACAACCATGTGCCAGAGCTCAGACTACAGCACAGCAGTGGTGGGCTCCAATAGGGCACGTTATTCTGCCTTAATGCTTATATATTTACTTCATCCAGAAGAATTTGCAGAACCACATAGTTAAAGATGCAATTCTCTATTAGACAGAAGGACTTTTCTCTGCAAAGAAAGTGCTTTTTTCATGTAGTTATAATCAATGAGGAGTTAGCCGTTGATTATGCTGGTCAAATCATCTCCTCAGAAAAGATGAAGACAGTCACTGCAAAGACTCTGTAATCAAATTCAGATAGGAGTTGTTTTTGTCTTACAGCTGAATTTCATTACCCTGGGCAATTGATTCTGGGTTGTCCAGAATCTCTAGTGCTATAAAAGTTAGAAACTCAAATATTTACAAACTAAAAGTGTTCATCTCTTATGAAGTCTTTCTCTGTCACTCCACAGAGATTATGCAGGTCTCTACCACACCATGATCTTTATGGAAATKATTGGAAATGAATAATGTTATATGTTTTCATGAATATATTGCAGCCCAAAAGCCAAGAATAAGGGGCTCAAGAGATTAGTCCCTGCAATTTGTTAGGTGATTATATCCATTAGAYGATGGCATAAATCATAATGGCATCTTGCTTTCTGGTCCCACAAATGCTCAGAAAAAATATCTATTTGTAGTCTGCTGCTGAGATTTGGCAGAACGAAGCTTTTAAAAATTATTAATTGTTAATTCCACTTGTTATTACAAACAGCAGGAAAACAGAGCTCTAGGCTGACATTTTCCATTTTAAAAGCATGAAAGAYATCAAATTTTATCCCAAAGAGGAGGCTTCCACTTGGCATATACAAAGAACTAAAGTGATACAGATGAAACCTGAAACCTTTATAAATTACACACACCAACTTTGTAAAAGTCTGGTGGACACATCCTCAGGTATTGTAAATTCACAAGACTTGACTTTAGACAAGATACAGCACTTAACATGGATAATGCAACTAATATTTTCATGGGTGTGAAACATTTTATGCATGTTACAGTCATGTTTGGATTAAAGTAAATGGACAAGAAAGAATTTTGAAGAAAAGAAGAAAAAGCAAAGAAACCCATACAATGACAGTGAGTTAAGAGCAATTTACTGGACTATTTTTTGATCTTGAAAATGCAGTCAGAACTAATGTTTGTTCTTCTTTTTTTGTTTACCTAACTTTTCTTAAAGAGATTAATCCAGAAACTATTTTGTTTATGAAAAAACTGTTTTGATTTTTTTACCTTTATGCCCTGCTAATCACAAAGGCCTTAAATTTAGTCTGTGATATCTAACTCCAAAGTCAGTGAGATAACAGAGACAAAAGGAAGGAGAAGAAGGCTCTTGAGTTTGTATGAACCACAGAAATGTATCCACACACACACTCAAATAAGTTCAATTAAACACAAGGGAATCCAGTATATGGACGTTGACATGTATCTTTGAGAGCTACCAGTGAGGTCACTCAATGCAGGATGGGAAGGTGAATGCACTGAATTCAGCTCTTACAAGGGATACACTTACTGTGTGCAATGTGTTTGTTATGTAAATATGTTACATATATACGTGTATATGTGTGTGTATGAACAAATTGCAAAACCTTGGCTTATGACATTCACCCTAATTTTTTCTGTAGTTCACTCACTTGAAAGTTTTTAATAAAATCTATTTATGTGAGTTTTAAGTAGCTCAGTTCAGGTCTTCAGCACTCAGTAAGTAATAGAAGTATGGGCAAATTTGCTTGTTATTTTCTCATTAGAACTGCAAGCAATGTATTCATAAAGATTTGTTGGAATATAATCAAACATTTGACTCAGAAGTATTTACAATCATGAGTCCTTTTTCAAACATTCATATATTCTTGATCAAAAAATGTAAAAATATCAATACACAATTCATTTTTTTTTTTTTCCATCATTTATATTTGCTCCTACATCTTAAAAAGTTGTAAGGAAGGAAATTACATATTTGGCACAAACRATCACATACATTCTCATTAGAAACAGTAAAGAGTGTAAGAAATATTATTCAAAGATTTCAATAACCAAYGTCATGAACTTCATGTAACAGATGAGAGGAGCTGAACAAGTTCATAATAGCTGAAGCTTTAGTGTGATCAAACAACAAATCCACATTTAATTACTACCAAAACTTGTGTGCGTCAACCTGACTGATTAAACAAGTTTTCTTATAACTTTCCTAACTCTCCATTGCTTCTTTCTAAAAAGATGCTACTGATACCATAAGGCAGTATCTACCTACCTAAATCAGGACAGATCAAGATCTGTATGAATGAAAAGGTTCTAATCTGCTTCCTTTGCTAAAAATAAATACCAGCATCACAAATTAAGGCTTTCTGATTCAAGTGCAAAATTATCACCTGAGTGGAATAACACGTTGCACCATAGTTTTTCTAATATAGTTCCTGCTTAGASCATCTGCTTTTAGAGATTTTTGAAACCGTGCATGCCTAGCTTGCTAAATAACACAGATCTCTCTTTAAAACAAAGGGCTGAGATGATTTTTATACCAGATGGGACTTGRTAGGCTAATTAAGAGAAACATAATTTACACTTAAGAGAGAACACCGTTGGAAGGAAGATTTCAGGAAATGTAAGGGAATAAATAATCAAAACAAACATGAAAAAGTAGTGAAACAAATTATCTTTCTTATTGGACTGATCTTTGAAAACCCAATTTGAAAAGAAGGAAGTTTCACTGTCTACCTCATAGTCCAGGTCCAGGTAATCAAATTCTCCATTGGTTCTGAAGTGCTGCACGTGTCTGTCGAGGGTGAGATTGATGTTCCTCCCRTGGCGCTCTATGATGATGGAATGCCAGTGGTGATCATCCAAGAGGCTGCCTGTTGTCACAGATGTGTGGCCAAAAATAGAGCCAAGCTGGTTGCTGCCTGAGAACAGAAGCAATAGCATTTCTCACCTCATACCAGTTAGGCAAACATTTGTCCTCTTTCTTTGTCAATGTTTCATCTGAATCATACCGGACATGCAATATGGAGGAGTCAGTCTGCAGTGAGCTCTGCCCAGTGGAGAGTTGTTGTCATAAAAACAAATAGCTAGATCAAATACAGCAAGCATCTGATCACTGAACTATATAAATATATGTAAAAAAAATCATAATAGCAGTCATTTGGAGATGAACCAGAGAAGCAATATCAACTTCCAGTTGTAAAATTGCTTTTAATCCTACAGTACAGAAAAGAAAAGCTKCCACCTCTGGGCCAGGTCCTGAGCTGTATTGGAACTGTACTGATTTATGACTGCTGAGGAAGACATGGGGACTGATAACAGTCTTTGGCAACAAAAAGTCTTTTCACTCTGAGATTGTGGCCTCATCCAGTATCACCACACCAACAAGCAGAGAGGAAAAGGCTCAGTGTGRAATGAGATTACAGCATCAAAAAACATCTTCTGCTATTACGGCTCTCTTCTCCTACAGCAATCTTCCTATTCTGGAAGTCAAACTACTAGCAAGAGCACAGTTTTGCAATTCTCTGCTGTGTTATCAGGGGGTTTGTGCCAGTGCAGCTGTGCTAGTCAGAGATCACATCTCATTGCCATCTGACTGACACAGCTAAGCCAGCAAAGGTTGATAGTATGGATCTCAACTGGAGCAGCAAATGACTAATTCAGCAGTGAGTGTAAAAAATTGCTGCACTGCTCAATAACTCATTGCAGTCTTCCATGTTCTGAATACATGAGAACCTAAARCATTTCTGAGGCTGAGAATTTCCTACCCTCAAGAATGCCTGTAACTCAGGCATTAAGGTTTGTGCATGCTGGAAACATATTCTGGCAAATCACACTTCCTTGGTTTAAGGATTACTTAATCATTACTTCCCTACAAATGACCATACTGCCTTTATGCTGAAGGCCAAAGGTCCTGTTGGTTTTTAAAAAAACAAACAAAAAAAAAAGTGCATGCATGTCATTGAGCCTCAGTTTCTTCAACACAAAGTCAAATGCAGTGCAAAGTGAAATCTAAATCCACTTCTGTCTCCCCATCCTTYGCCTACTCCCTGGTGTTTGAAACTAAGTCAGTAAATCTCACCAGGCAAGGTGAGCATCCTTTTCTACTGTCTCATGCAAAGACAATACTCTCRGCAGAGGAAGAATAATACAATAAAGCATTCCTTCTGTTTATTGAGTGTGTGTCCCAGGGCTTAATCCCATTTTTCAGCCTTGTGATTTAAGAACATCCTCATCAAACTCAATATGGAAGTTATAATAYCTTATAAACACAGTCTGTGCTGAAGGATACAGAGAGACTGGAAACAAAAGGGTTACTACTGCAATTAAAATTGTTAAAAATAGATAACTGCTATAGGAAGGTGTGCTTTCCTCCTCCTCATCTGTTCTTGTTAATTAGGAAAAGAGCAGGAGAAAATGCTAGTSGAAATAAGTACTATTCAGTGTAAATAATAAATGCAATAATTTACTCTTCACATGTCTGTAAGGGAATTAAAGGAAGTTGCATGAAATCTTTCTCTAGAATTCTTTTGTTTGAAGGGAGAAAATACTTGAAATCAGATAAATGTGGGGTTTTTTTCCTAATAAATGTACTTTATAAATCCAATCACTCATGAGCCTGTTGTCCTCTACTTGGAGGGCAAATGGATGCTGGAACTAGAGTAATATATACAGGATTTGATCATAAGATTGCCTGATAAAACAATCTCTTTTCCTTTCTTAATCCTACTTGGACTCTAGAAAGGCTGCTGAACTCCAATTTCATGTAGCCTGYAGCTTCCTAGACTGATACTTCTTTTGTTTTTTGCAAAGTTCCTAAGGGTGACCTTTATTTCCTCCAGAAGTGATGACGGTGTCTTTCTCTCACACAAAGCCATAGCTGATGTCAAATATAATTCTAGCAAGCTTGGTTATTTTTTTTTTCTTTGTTTGTGGTGATGACAATATATTGCTGATCCTGCTTTTCTGTATGATCTTCTTTCCAGAGCATCTCACACGGAATAAAAAAGGAGAGAATGGATCAAAACACACACACACCCCATGCAGAAAGGGAATTGACAAGATTTTCAACAAATTAGCTGATTAAATTATATGACTTATCATATTACTGTGGGAAAGAGGATGAAATGTTTGACCGAAAATTTTTGTGGGAGAGCTTAAAACTACCACAAAATGAAACAATCTAAACATACCTAAATTTAAATTTAGAACAAGTTTGGCTTTCTTTAGTTCCAGGGTGATATAGTCTCCTTGCTGTCCTTCTCCGTGGAAGATTACACCTTCGCTTTCAGAGGTCTTAAATTTCAGAGAGATGACATCTTTCAGTGTTTTCATTTTCTTGTTCCTGAATCTGTATGGTAAAACTACATGGCCATCAAAATTGATAACATCAGCCCCTAAAGGAAAAAGCAAATAACATAATTGATGAGAGATTATAAATTCCTGTGGCCACTGGAAAAACAGACATGCCACATACAGATTGTACCTGAACAGAATAGCAAATATGCAGGTGTGATATGCATTGTAAATACATTTTCTCTTGACCATAAGTTAATACTATAAAAGTAGGAACCAGGCAGAACATCAATTTAATCCACAGAATGCAGAAAAAAGTAAACAAACCAGATTTGGGAGGACAAATGCAACAACTATACTCAATAACCTTCAGTTTCTCTCATAGTTGCTGCCATTTACATTTTCCTAATAATAACTCAGAGATAAACTTCTGACGGTCATTAATAATTCATTTGATACTTGTTGAAAATTCACTAGGTTCCAGTAAGAACTGTAAATAGTAAAACGTGGCAATCAGCCTGGCAATTCTAGACTTTATGTAAAACACAGACATAAGCTTCATCTATTTCAGAAATGGTGGGTGAGTTGTGATGCCAACAAATTTTAAGAAAATTGAAATTCTATCATTTGAATTAGTTTTTATTTCATGTTTGGTTTTATTCAAAATATGTGAAGAAAACTGAGGGGTGCAATCACTGAAAGTCAATACAATATGCATATAAATATTGCATAATAACACTACTAACACTATTGCATAATAACACTAAAATTTCATGCTGTCTTATTTTCATCACTTAATCTCTAATGAATGCACACCAATTTTCTGCAATTTTCTGGTTGCTAGATTCACACGAAAAATAGCTGTAGAAGGGGATTTTGTTCAACAGTTGCATTTCTGCTAAATTTAGAATCTCGTAACTTAAGCTGAGTTCTGTAAAAGATTTCAAACAGATATTTGTCTCTAAAAATTTACAGATTTGTCTAAATCCCCTTTGTAAACTGTTAAWAATCAATTCACCTGTGCCTTAGCTACTATTTTTATATAAGCATTTAATCCTTACTGTTGACAATTAACAATTTGAATAGTTATTAAATAAAATTATCAAGAAGGMATTAATAAGAAAATTATTTTTAAAAGGAAAGAATCCATCCATATTCTTCAAAAGCATTTATACTTATTGACATACCATATTTATTTACGCTCTGACTGCAAAGAAGGATGGCATATTATCATATATTCTCCAACCACATCTGATTTTTGCCTTCTTCTCTGGTCTGCTCTTCACTGATTGCTTGGAACTTTTTAAAATTCCTAACTTGTTTTTGCTATTATGGTGGGAATTAATTTAAATCTTTCATCCCTTCACAAAAACAGAGAGACAAACACATTTCTTGGGAGTAATTAACACAGAAGACTGTTTCAAAACTCCATTAAAATACTATGCATAGTATGCCTAGCTGCCTATATTTCAATCTGAATTTGCATGGCCAAGTCTTCCTAAACCTGACAAGACTTGATGATAAGAAATCATAAACAGTGAACCCCTTAATTTTTATGCCAGCTAAATTCTGAAGAAATTTATTCAGAATGTAAAACATGAGACTTACAAATGGACTAATAATATAATAATTATTAATATATATCTCTTTTTTTTCAGAATGCAGAATATATATTAGAAATATCACATTTCTTTATAAAACCCATTTTAAAATGCAAATTTCAATAATCAATTTGTATTGAGTGCAGCTAAAACTCTCAGTTGATCTGGTTCCATCAAATGACAAATTCYAGGCATGAGAATCAGTTCAAAATTAAATATCAAAATGATATACATGGTATTTGTGGGGCAATAAATCCATTTAGAAGTTATCAGCATGAAAGAGAACATATTCACTCAGGCATAGATGCAGAAGCATTCAGCAGCAATAACATGGCATTTCAGAAGAGGGGTTATCATGACTCAAGTAAATCCATTACTTCTGAAATGATATTTTTTTTTTTTAAGAAACAAAGAAAATGGTTAGAAAAACACTGTAATGAAGATTATATCATCTTGTTGCTTTTGCTTGCCTTATAAGCTGTCAAGATATTTGAGAAATTCATTCTTGAGAGTTTTGTATATGGCTTTTAGAAAAATATGTAATCTTTTTATCATACCTCAGCATGAAACATCAGCTTGAAAGTCACATTTTAATCACAAAAGTCATACTTCTATGTAAAGCAAGTTTACTATAAAGCTCCTACTCTTTTGAATCTACATACARCTACCTGACACAAGTGTTATAAATGAATGAAAACTGATATTGAGGGTAACCTTCAWACCAAATATACATCATAAAAATATGACTCCACACACAATGTACAAGATTGTCTTCCAAAAAGTTTCTGAAATGTATTTTCTGACAGTTACGGAAACTCCTGGATGGGGTGTATCCCCTTTCCCTAAGGTGAGTTGGTRCCACTTCAAGACATCTGCAATAGTTACTTTAATAGTCAGGAATCTGACCCAGAACTGATCAGGACCATGTGGTTTTGTGGATTCACAGGATGCCCATAAGACAAGTAGTCCTTTGGTTCCTATGTCATTGTTACTGTTGCATAGGTGTTCTCATTCTTTGTAGACAATTTATATTTCACACTTGACAAAGATCAGTAAAAGGACCACACTTTTCCAGAATCTGTCCCTGAATTTCCATGTTTTGAAAATAATTCAATTTAAAAAAGAGACATCAGTAATCTTTGATTAAGCAGGGGCTTTTTACGCATAACTGCTGGCAGCAGAGTCTGAATGATAATTCAATCACCTGAAGATTACATAGCAATTATGTTTAAGAGTTATCATATGCAGACTGTAGTAATGACTTGTGTTCCTTCTATGATGACACTCAGCTATTTAATMTCATAATTACCATGGTGCAGAATAGTACTCAGACAGTAAACCATATAATTCCTGTAATTGCAGAGTAAATATATAATTTTTCTCATCCTTAGCCACTCAACTATCAAGACTAGTAGGAAAGAGACCTAAGYCATCACATGAAGTATGTTCACCTGCAGCCAATGACTGTACTCAGAGGTTACTGCTGCAATGGGGAAAACCTTCTTAAGAAAAGATAAAGTTAAAAAAGAGGGAGAAAGAGAAGAAAATGAAGAAAGATGGGGGAAGGAAAACCTGAGAACTTTTATTTTTTTTAATTACATAGAAATAGAAAGTACAAATCTAACTACTTAAAATTTGATTTATGCCCTACTGGATTTCCTATTATATGGATAGRCTGGAAAACACTGCTAACACAGTGAAAATATAACACCACTTTCATTTGTATAGRGAGATGTTAGGCCTTATCTCAGTAAATGTCTGAGACACCCCATTGAAACCATTTCATTAGTTAAGGTATCATCAATTTTCCTCTAAAAAATAGTATTTSAGAAAGCCTCACAAAGATTGAGAAGAAATTGGGTGGGAAATGTGACCCCATTCATGAATCTCAAAGGAAACTAAATCCCTAGTCACAGGTCTTCCTGCCTATGCTTTTGTCCTGTGCTTTTGGCTACATGAAGATTTGGCAAAATTTGATCAGGRCATCAAATTTACTTGGTGATATTTTATTTGATGTTTCTGTCTCAGTTTGGGACAATATTTTCAGAGAAAAGTGCTACAGAGTAAATGTTTCCTCTGAAGTGAAAAATTTGATAATTTTTTTTCCAMCAATATGAAATAGATGTTCAGGCAAAAGTGAAGAGAAAAAAGTAGTTTATTAACAAAACACAATGCCCACAGGACACGGATAAAAAGCAACTGTTAGATATTTAAAAACTCAGGAACACATGCTGCCCCCTCCCCCCACAAACCACTCAGCCAGTGGTGGGGAGAAAAGATGGCAGCTCCCATCCTCAGGGAAAAAGAAACAAAAGAAAAAAAGGTTCACATGACCGCTCTGGCACCAGTGGCAACCTGGTGGCAGTCCTCACTGTGCGTGTAACAGAGGGCTTAGTGTGCTTTTCTGTTGCTGGCTTGGCTTCTTCTGGAGTCCGGGATAAGACGGASCAGTGCGGTTTGTCCCTGCCGGCCACCAAATTGCTTCAGAAGAAAAATCACATGAGTCGGAAAAGGGGGTGGCAGTCCAGGGAAAAAACAAACCCGAGCTAGCTAAACGGCAACATGTAACTCCCCTGCAYGCAGTGTGAGCAAGGACTCCTGCAACACGGAGCTGAGGTCTAAAAAGCCCTCGGCTGTGTGGCAGCCCCGGTTTTTAAACTGCCYGCACTGTCCCTGCCTCTTCTGGGTTGGATTTGAAGGATTATAGGAATACAGGACTGGCACAACATCAACCCAAGACAGCTCCAAAATAACTTATTAACTAATTATAAAGAAATGGCCTCAAATCAGACTCAAGCTCCAGAACTCCTTTTCCTCCATTTCTTGTGAAAGAAATATAACTAATCTCAATGTCAGCACTTTAAGAATGAAGAAATGTTCATTCACAAAGACTCATGAGGTACTGAGATTTCTGCACAGCTACTTTGCTACTTTGATCAAGGTACTGCCTGGAGTTACTAAAAAATCCCTGCTTCCTGACACACTAAAATAACAGCGTTCAGAACAAAGTAGAACAGCAAAATGTTTTCCAGAAAAATGTTTACCATATAGCGAACAAAAACCAAAGCATTATGTTTCTCCTCCTAAATTACAAACTCAACATGTAAACATATTTTTAAATTGCTACTGATCTGTGAATGATTGACTCTTCAAAGCCTGTACAGAATATTTCAGAGGGATTAAAGATATAAAACTTCTGTACTACTGACTGACAGCAACCTTAGGTGAAATTTTCTCACTTTGTTATCTCTTCTCCATTATTTCATCTGCTTAAACCAACCATCTGTTTAGACTAAATGAGCTTCAGKGAAAAAAATCCTCACTTTTAGCATTCTTCTCTTACCCCATAATTTGAACCTTATGTCTGAAGTAYGCGTATTACAGTAATGGATGGCAATAGCCATACACTGAGCATCTACATTCTAAATGTGTCAGGCATGCATCAAAGCACCTCTGGCTGCCCCAAACTTTTCCACATCTGTAGTTTCACTTGTAGCTAT